TTTTTTTTTTTTTTTTTTTTTTTTTTTTTTTTTTTTTTTTTTTTGCTGACAACTCGGCTTCAAAAACTGTTCCAATTTTTTACGTTTGTTTTAAATAAATAAAAATTGAATGCGTTAATAAATGAAAGAATACTATTATAAATATATTTATTGATATGGCAGTCAAATATTACTCACACTTGGCTTGCCGTTTCACATTGAGCATAATCGAACAAATAAGTTAATTTGTGGGAAATACTACAGGAGTTTGCTGCGCTTTATGCCAATTCTACAAAATCGTTATTATAATTTTCTTTTTTTACACAAATAACTTCTACCTGTCTGAAATTCGTCTGCTTACTGAACATATAGTATTGAGTAATAATTATATTTGGTGGGAATTTCAAAGAGTTAAATCCGTTAGTTGTGTCTGTTGCGGTGCTCAGATCTTACGTTTTTCCCTTCATGAAATTTGTGGACTGTCAATCACCAGTTCTTTCTGTGAAGAACCGGGAATTCTTTAAATACGCAAATAGCATACGAGAATATGAAGTTTGTCAAATTTTTGAAACTATGCCAACTGTGGATTAATATTAATAAAAAATAAGGGTAAATTGGAAAAACAATCTTTTAGAATAGAACATTTTTGTTGCGGTGTGATTTATTTATATTTACCTGGCATTAGGTGGGACCGAGAGGTATTGAGTGGTAGAAGATCCCCTACTGCTGCAACCCACTACATGATTCTGCACGGCACGTTGCAGCTTGCAGGGGTTTAAGTGAGTGTGCTGGCAAATAAAACCCTTGAACGCCGATCCAGCTGAAATAATTTGTGGTGTTATTTTCGAACACACTCATAATGTAACTCTTTCTGTTTGTATCCTCATCTTCAGGAGGCGGATTATAATGACCTTAAACATTGCCAAAAATTATCAATAAAATGTTCTTAAAATGTTTTTGAAATGCCCTAAAAGCAAAGAAAAATTGCGTAAAAATTGATCAAAAACAGTTCAGCTGAACAACTCAAGTTGCTGGATGTGTTACTGATGTAATCGAGACTTTTTTCGTTTAATTTAAGGGAACTCAGCTTGCAAACTTTTGGTTTGGCCAGTTCTTTAGCAGGAATTCGCTATTAAAAAGTTACTGCGAGATGGACGATCCGACATTGACGCTGATAGACATCACAGGAACTATACCAAACGTTCTTACAATGGGTGACATTACAATTTCTGATCGAAGTAATAGAATATTCTACTCTGGAATTTTGTAGAGAATTTTTTGCCGATCGTAATATTATTTAAAGCAAGTGCCATTAAAATTATGTTAAAATTGATTAAATTAGCGAAAATCGTATAAAGTAACGGAAAAATGTAAAAACTGTCTTAATAGTCTAAATCGACGAACAATGCAAAGAATGCCTTATAAAAATGGGCCATTTCTTTTTATCTTTACATAAAATTGATATTTGTACTCATAGGCATTGTTCTAAAGTAAACAGAAAAAAATGGCATTTCATTAAAATCCGCCCATACTCATCATTATCAAAACGATGTGTTCCTTTAAATATCCATGATGACTATATTACATTAAACTACAATAACCCTTAATGTCTTTCCAACCCGCAAATGTATGTAGACTGTGATTT